AGTATCGTGCCGAGCTTAAGAGCCAGCGTTGGCTCGATCTAATCATTAAGCATATTCGCCCAGTACTGGCTACTACTGTCGTACCAATATCGAGCCTCGTTTGCCGATATTGACCCAATACTGGGCCGTTCGTCAATTCCTACAAGGGAGTGTTTCTCAATAGAACAACTCTTCTAAAAATATTGCGACAGATAGATACTACAGTAGTTGTAAATCCTGCATACAATTTTCATAAGAATCTACGAATTAAAACACTTCTTATATTTAGCACTTGGTTAGTAAATTAATGAACATTTTCGATAAACTTGCAGTTAACAACAAAAAAGAATTTAATTATTTTTACATAAATTCTATTTTTCTTTAAATAAATGTTTGTTACACACAGAACCTAAACCTACAACGTGTTGTGTGCAAACAGTGTGACTGCGCGTATTTGCAAGATGCCGTCGACATGCTGATTAAAGCAAAGAAAATAGGACGAAAGACGCAACGCGAGAGGAAAGGGGAGAGAGAGAATTTCAAGTCCCTCGCGTCGTGGTATTTGGTTTCAATTAAACCCGAGGATTCGCGCCGCTTAATGAAAAATGTGCCCGAGAACTTTCCGCGCGATGTGAAGCGCCCTTCTCTTTCTCCGAAAACGATTATTGCCTCGCGGATGCGTATTTCTCTCGGAAATACCGTTTCGAAATGCGGCACATCATACAGCAGAATATGCACCTCTCCCGTACCGACACGACAGCGCACGCGATTATTGCCTCGCGGATGCCAAAAGCGAATGCCGTGCGAGGCGAGCCGCCTGCTCATTCTTCGCGCGATTCTCGCTTCCGATTTCGCTCCGGTTTTTTAATTCGCTCGCGGTAACTTTCACACGTTCGTACCAAGAAAACGCAACCGTTATGCCAGACGCTCACGTGAAAAGCAACAATTGATTCGCACAGACCCCGATGGTGTAATAATCTTGAACTCTTTCGCGCATTCGAGCAATTTTTCCCGCGAGGTCTTCTCCTGCCGGTTTCACGCGCGTGCGAACGCGAAAGACAATTAAAAACAAATACATTCATCGAAACTGGCAAGTAAATGCGGCAGTTTGCGACCTCGGTAGAGAGTAAAAATAAATAAAATCGATTCAATTCCACGAGATTTAGTATATATTTAATTATATTTTATCCGATTAGTATCGGTCGTTTCGCGTTGCCGAATAAAAAAAACAAAAAAGAGCAACGAAGAAATGCGGTACATGTACGCAAAGAATTGAAAAATAAATCCCTCTGTCACAGTAACCAAAAATAAAAAAAAACATGAAATTATATTGAAAAAAATCGATGCTTCGATACGGAAAACTTTGCACCCGAGGAATATTCGCGAGATTTGGGCCCGGTCCGCGCGCCGGAACGGTTGTTAAAAAAAACTAAAAAAAAAAAAAAAAAACACTGCAACGTCGTTTTTGTTCTCGCGGAGAGATCGCGCGGTGTAGTTCAAGGATCGAAAATCGGTCGGTGGCGCCGTTTACGCGTGTTTTAAAATCAATGGGCGGCAAACGAGGACGCGATCGACAAACAATGTACCGCTCGGCTAGGGCAGAGAATATTGCGCGCCGCTTCCGCTGCAATAACCCTGTATAACTTTGCTTTTACCTCGGCGAAACATACCGCTGAAATACGGCTGGATAAATATTGATGTCCTGCCTTCGTATATAAAATATAGAAAATCCCGAGCGCAACACGACAAAAAAAAAAAAAAAAACACGGCTCGGACGAGAGACACGTCGCCCGCCTGTGTGTTATTTTATCTAATTACACACCGCGCCGCGCACGACGCAGACAACCGTCGTTAAAGTTGTTGTTTGCGTCAATTATAACGCAATAACTTCTGAAATACCACATTGGCTTTATGGAACGCAGAAAATTCGTTCTGATCAATTTGCAAAACGACTACCGGTGGAAAACTGAGGAGAGAGGGAGAGAGAGAGAGAGACAGAGAGGGAGACAGAGAGAGAGAGAGGAAGAGAGAACTGCATGAATAATGAAATTATATTCGTAACCGTAAAATAAACTTTGGCAAAGTCATGATTTTTTAACAGCGTTCTATAAAACACACACATACAATGTTTATATAAGGGGTGATTCAAATTGTGGAAAATATTTATGTGTAAATGTAAAACCATAAAATAAAATAACATTTTTGGAATAGAATACTTTATGTCGCTTCCTGTTATCGTTTATTGCCTCCCCTCCGCTTCTATTTATCTATCTGTGTATCTCTCTCTCTCTCTCTCTCTCTCTCTCTCTCTCTCTCTCTCTCTCTCTCTCTCTTTCTCTCACTTCTCTGTTACACCATTTAAAAGCGTAATGGCGTATACATACACATATACGCGACGTTGCGCCAGAAAACATCGCATCCGGCGATCCCGGTGGTTTATTATCGCGACTACTCGCGAGGCGAACTTAGGACGACCGCGAGTTCCTACGGTAATTGTTCCTGCTATAACGAAGTGTTACATCCGCGCGCACGGGAGAACAAGAGTTCGAATTGAGTAAAGGCGCTTCGTGACCGAGCAAAACTTTGCATTAACGATATTTCGCGGTCCTCGCGTGTAAACAAGATTCCGTCGGGATTTACCCATAGATTTACTCGCGAGCGCGTATGTGCAACGCAATGTACGCGCGCATATAAATTCGGTTTGTATTTTTGAACTATATTTTCTCTTTTTTTCCGCCCCACGAAATTAAACGGAAGATAAACATTAATATCCAAGTTAAAGCACGTTAAAAAGCAGATTCTCTGATGGCAAATAATGAATACACACGGCTCGAATATTGCGGCGTGTTTTTGCATTCTATAAAAAAAAATCTTAAACAAAAATAACGTCTGTGTCGGGAAATTTTGACGTTGTTCTACTTTTATCGAATCAACCTATTGGCAACAGACACTCTCCGATGCGCGCAACTTGTAATCGATATTTTCTCTCTCTGCGAGATTTTATCTCGCGTCTCTCTCACGTCACTGTGAGATATATGTGTGTGTGTGTGTGTATATATATATATATAATTTAAATGTCGTCGAAACTAACAAGTTAACTTTTTAAAAACAAAATATAACAAAAGAAAATCTTTGCAACTTATTTTTATAATGTAATGCAACTGTAATTGTTTTTTTTTTTTTTTTTTTGAGTGTGTTGACAAGTTTTGAATGGCGAAGATGTTAGTCCAACATATTTTTATCATCTCTTTTGCCTTGCGTGCGTCAACATCGAATCGGCGTGAATGCGGCCCTGCCGCGAAAAGGAGAGGTACTCACCGAGCGGCGACGGCTCGTTCCGCGTATCTGCCCGTCATCCTCGAGAAGTCCTCGGCCAGTCGTTTTGCGTGGAGAATCACGGCGAGCAGTTCATTCCATACCAGGGATTCGGCGTTCCACACCGGCCTTCGGGGAGAAGCAAAGTGGTGGTTTAGCGCTCGCGCACCGAAACACTACGCCGATTTTTCGAGAGAGAAAGATAGAGAGAGAGAGAACAAAATTCGCAAATTTCGACCGGCGCGACGCGCGAACAACTAATGGCGTTAGTTCGACTTGAAGATCGCGCGTTTCGAACGCACAAACTCGTCCGCGTCGCGGCGTTCGCGTTCCCTCCGCGCTCGACTCGACGCACTTTGCGTGTGCGAAACGTAAGATGTCGATTTAGACGTCAGACAATGTGAAATGTAAGTAAAAGAAGAATACACGTGCAAACGAAATGAAATAAACTACTAATTACTGATAAATAAAGAAAATCTACAAACACAATTTTTATTGGAAGAAATTACATTGTAATTGGATTACTCTCGATTGCGTTTTTTTAATCTTTATTAGATTCAGTTGTATTCCGATTTTGTTCGTCGAGTAGGCGTTCGTAAACTACGTTTCCTTGTGCAATGTAACCACGCACGTGTTCGTTGATCTTTACTGTCAGTGATTAGAAATAATCACGCGCACTCGAGTTCATGGACGTAATTAGTCGAAATTGAATCGGCTACCGTCTATATATATCGGTCAAATGATTCGTTACGTGAATAAGGTACAAAAATAACAATAAAAACGACTGTCAAAACGTCTGGGCAAACTTTTGTTCATAAAATTCGAGTGTGTTTGATTCAATTTGTTGTCAATAATATTCCGGCAATTTAAGAAAAAAACATTGTCGATTGATAACGTATTTTATATGCAACGCGCTAAAAAAAAAAAAACGAATTATCTAACCTTTCTTCCTCGTTAGCGCAACTTCATGTTGATACAAACAGCAAGTGCATTCAACAAACCGAGTCTCCCGAAAGAGTAACGTCAAACATGTAAACAAAAGCTGCGTGGATGTTTGTTTCGTTCTAAACAACGTCGGACAATAGGAAGAAGCGTCATGCGAGAAGAAAAAAGAATAGCCCGATTTGAAGAATTTCTCTAAACGTCGCGAAGTTGTCTGCGAGCAAGAATCGCTGAGAAAACGCACACGTTCGAATTCGGACAACTACGTAAACACCGGCGAGTGACAATCCGAACGCGAGGCGCTTACTCCAAACAACGATATTAGAGTTTTCGCACGACGAGAAACGTTCTTTTACATACGCGACGTAAAACTCGGACGCTTCGGAAGATGCGAGAGACGGGGCAGTTTCTGTACCACGCGACCTGTCACCGCGCGTCTCCGAACGAGAGTACGAACGCGGCGGCTTTCCATGCATAGAGAGAAAGGGCAAAGGAGAAAGAGAAAGGTGTGTGTATTGCGCGACGCGCGTTTCACAACCGGTCCTTTACTCACCAAAGGAACCCGACGACGTACAGGCGTTACAGTAAAATTTCCGGGTAAGCAATTCGGAAACGGAATCCGGCGCAAGTGTCAACTTGTGTATAAACGTTGCGCTCTGCTCCAGCCCCGTTCGGGCGGGCGACCAACCGACCGACCGTACCCGTCAAAGGTGACTGCGACGAGTCTCCGCGCCGCCGCGAGTGGGGAGCCCGACCCTCTCTCCATCTCGCTCGCGCGCACCGCTGCCACGGAAGCTCCGTCCCCCACTCTCGTCTCACCTATCGCAAGGCACCTCGTCGAAAAGAGCCGGGGACTTCGCCGGCCATTTGGCGCGCTTCTCGCCAGACGGCGCCACGTTACGCGTATACGTAATGGCGGCGTTACGCTGCTCTCGGTATATATACGTAATGCACGAGGGAACGACTATATGCGCACACACACACAATACTTTTAACTTATTGCCATATCTCACCGCTATTATCGAGCAAGCGATCCAGTGCGGGTGAAACTTGTTTCTCATACATACATATGTGAATCTACAAAAACACTCTTCTTCCTTTTGGTTTTTTTTTATTTTTTTTTTTTTTAATTTCAACGTATGTACAAGTTTCTCCGCAATACATCCGCCTGGTTTTCGGAGATACTTTGATTATTTTCTTTTTGGAAGTAAATATTTCGAAGTAGGAATGTTCGCAAAGTTTGTTATTTTCCAACAAGTTCTAGGACTTCTCACACGCGGTCGAAGATTTGATTTATTTTGAAATATAAACTTCACACACCACACACGAGTTTTTATATATGAAAAGGATTTTTAGTAATACAATTTTTATTTTTATTATGAAAATGAATGTTTTACATATGGCTGATATTTAGTGCACTTGCTATATCATAGGTACAATAAAAATTATGCTAAATTATACTAATATAATAATAATAATAATAATAGAGAAAGTGACAAAGTTAAAATAAGAAACTTAGAAGCACAAACTAAAACTCGTACTACACGTGCAATAAACTTTCGATCAACCTCGTACTCATCTCGTCTTTGTATCTATTTTAGATTATAGTTTTGTTTTTTTTTTTAAAAGAGTTGAAGTCAGTCTTTGCTACATACTCAAAAAAATTTGCAACATTTCGACTCATTAAATTTATGTGTGTCGAGAAAAAAACTATTTTTCATTTACTTTCGAAGAATAGAGTCTCAAAATATAAATTCTTTTGATACGAGTTTTTTTTTTAAGTTTAATTGGAAACTATGTACAATCGAATCACACGCAAACAAACAACTTTTGAATTTGAATATTTGCGATCGAAATCGTACACAATATTATAACGAACGTAATTTTGGACAGGAGAAAAGCGCAAGAAAACCTCTGTGAACTATAGATAAAGTGCAAAACGGAGATTACGTTTAATCAGCAGATTAAAAGACTGAAAAATTCAAAGTTTTTGTATCTCTACGTATTTGGCAAAGTGGAGTCAAACTTCGAATTACAAGAATTATCAGTTCTTCTAATTATTTTCGATTTACGTTTTTATATAAATTTCTTTTTATCGTGACAAAAAGAAAACTTCTTATCTGATACGTGTGAAAATTTTGCAAACTGTGTGCAAATTTGAAGTATTATTATAACGCGTGTGAATAATACATCGGAACGTGCAGCCGCTACATGTTATACAAATTTGTTTTGTTTACACACAACACGAAGCATAAGAACGACGCTGTTTTTCTTTAAAAACGAAGTATATCCAAAACAACACTATATTTGTTCAATCTCGGAAACGTGTTTGACCTGCCAAATAGAAATTTGTTCTACAACAAAAATTAGATTATTATTGCAAACCAAATTAAAACCAAGTGTCAATAACGCGTTGAATGACGTAAGAACACATTTCTTGAGAATTCGCACATTTTCTTGGAATTCCTTGAAAAAACAAATTGTTTAGACTTAATTTCAAGTTATCAAAAGCGAGACGAGACAAAATTGAAAGGCGACGATTTAGCAAAAAGCGTCTTCGATGTATTATAAATAACTAAAACACACATGGTAATTGAAAACGCTTGTTTATAAGCTTTCCGCAGCTTCCAATGTTTACGCACAGTGTTCTCAACTTGCAAACTGTTTTGAAAACTGCCGTTACCGAGCCATGCTACAACGCATCGCTCACTACCACTCGTCGAAACCCTTTTTTTTTTTGTTATTCTCGTCTGAAAAGCCCCTTTTTTTCCCTGTCTCGTCCGTTTGCCAATCGAGTAATGAACATTTGTCTTTTTTCCTTTAACTCTCATATTTTGTTTATCTATATTAAATTATATCATTATATCTGTTTTTATTTATAGCTCTATATTTATATATATATATATATATTTATATATGTATATCACGCCAGCCACTTCGTCGATTTAGTAACCCTAGGTACACTTCGTCAACAATCATTCTTCTGCTTTCTTTTGCTCCTTCTTGTTTGCACACACGTATCTTGAAATGTGTTTCAGTTGTTAATTGTCGCTAAATTATGCCGGCTTCTGTGAACCTTTCTTGCCGATAAGCGATTTGTGAATATGTGGTATAACACCTGTAATCAAAAAATATCAACATGTGAACAAATTTGCTCGTTGTGTGATTTGGATGTAAATCGTGTACAAGTGAAAATTAATTAAATTAAAGAGTAACAATTCTACAAACGTTATTACATTAATAATAGAAACAATTATTTTTCAGAAAAGCATACCTCCTCCCGCAATTGTTGCCTTAATAAGACTATCTAATTCTTCATCTCCACGGATTGCAAGTTGTAAATGTCTGGGTGTGATACGTTTGACTTTCAAATCCTTTGATGCGTTCCCCGCCAACTCCAACACCTTTAACAAACAAAAACAAAAAACAATGTTTTGCTCAAACCGAAAGGCGGGAAAGTCAGCCATGCTGTTCTAGCGTTCGCAACGCCATCAGCACTTGTGACGCTGCAACACAGCTCCTAACGGCCGATCTGTATCGTGTGTGTCTGTACTTTATCTCTTTTCTTTTGTCTGTTCCATCTATTTGCTATTTACTCTTCCTTCATCTTTTTTTTCGCGTTTGACGCAATTGTTGCAACATTTTATATTTATATCTGTTAAAATCAAATACTGTTAAATAAGTACAAAACATTAAAATACATATATACTTTTTAATGATTAGATATATTAATAGCACTTACTTAAAATGCTTGCCAAGCACATTTCTTAAGTAAGACCGTTTTTTTTTCGTTTTTTTTTTTTTTACGTTAAAACTGTACTCACATATTGTGTATTTATAGCACGTAAAACACGACGACGTAATATCTATATCATATTTTAGTGGCTTTTAAAACTGTAATAACATATGACGTAAAAAAACAATGTATTTTTAACAATCTGTTGGATCAAACCGTGCTAAAAATATCACCCGACTAATTAAGAAACAATTAGTTATTTGATATTACAATTTGCCGTTTGTTCTCCTCTGCGTATTTTTATGTTTTTGCTCTTGCTGAATAATTTTTTTTTTTTATACATATTGATGTTTTTTTTATATTTTCTAAATTCTATTACGTTGTCACGTTTTGTCACAGTATTTCCGATGTCTGCGTGCAACAAACACGTGATCTTGTGAAATATATTTTTTTGAACCTAATGATTACTGTTTTAGGTATCGGTTATAATGTCTGTCTTCTTCTCTCTCACTCGCACACGTTTGCTCACTTACCTCGGCCGTGAGATATTCCAAAATGGCCGCACTGTACACCGCCGCAGTAGCGCCTACTCGACCATGACTCGTGGTTCTGTTTTTCAAATGCCTGTGAATTCTGCCTACGGGAAACTGCAATAAACCGCTGAATGAATAACCGCATTTGCCTAAATTCTTCAGACACGTGTCAAATGAGATCAGAACGTACGCAGTCAGTCTATCCCGAGACACACCCGATATGTTTTAATACGGTAATGAACTACATGTGTGTGCGTGTGAATGCGTGCGTGACGTCACGTCTATACATATAGAAATCTACAGTGTGTGTGTGTGTGTTCCGATACAAAAAACTCGCAGATTTTCAAAAAAAAAACATGTGTTACCGCACAAATAAATACTATATTTAGGAATTTTGTCAAATCTTAAGAAAAATCTTATGGACACGCTCAGAAGATAACAGATGTTGTGATTAAAGTGAAAATTCTGTGTACTCGAAATATCTTTTAACGTGGATTACAAATTTTTAATCAAATTTTGCATTTTATATAAAAAAATTTCTTATTGTTGTGAAAAAATCTTAGTTGATGTAATATTCATATAAAAATTGTAAAAAAAACCGCATCAAGCAATTAGCGCTACCTATTTAACAATATTTCCAAAGAAGAGATTGTTTCACATGTTTTTCTATCGCGCACACAAGACACGCGTGTTAAATATTCCATCTATACGTAGAAAGCGAAACACACATAGACGAAAAAAACAGAAGTATGTAAAAATAACGTCTAATCTGAATGCGGCGTTCATAACGCCAACAATGTGCATTAATACGTATCCATACATAGTATAGTGTGTTACATCGCCCCGGAAACGGATTTTCTCGAAAACAACAAGGGCTTTGTCTCGAAGCATCGCCGATACACACACGTGTATACGCCCAAGTTTTTTTTATGTTAATTAAAATTACAAATCATTGAATTAATTATATACATTTGAGGTCCCTCTGTCTAAAACAATATTCGAACATCGCACACATGTATCTCGTCAGTTGTAAATTCTCAAGAGCATGTCGCTATGTAAAGTCAAGTAACTCAGCGTTCTCATTATTGCTGCGTGTGATTGCCGACTGAAATTTTTATCTAGTTCCTTTGAGTAATAATCGTCACTGACGACGACGCGTCTAGTGACTTCTACAACCGCGTGCCGCGACGAACGGCCGAACGTTTTCAGGACGGGACGCCGGTTTCCGTCTATTAACCGTCCCGCGTGACATTGGCCGTCGGCCACAGCGTCAAGCAGCTCTCCCAGCCGAGGCTGAATATCGAGCGATAAAGCAATGACACGGATTTCCGCAACAATGTTCCGCGAGACGAGTCTCAGGTCGCCCGAAGCGCGTTGCCCGTGAGAAAATTTGTCCACGGAAAAGTCACGCGTCCCGTTGTCCCGCAATCTTGTTCGCGACGACGCGTCCTATTCCGCTTCGTCATTTCGACATTTCGATAATGTGGCGGCTCTATGCATATACCGCGACTCGTTCAGAAGCGGGAAAAAAAATCCGTCGAATACACGCGCGAATATCGAGCGGTGCGATTTGGCTCGCTCGCTCTCTCTCTCTCTCTCTCTTTCTCTCTCTTCGTCGTCTCTCCAGATTTTGGCACGAAGTTTCGTCATCCGACGCACGCCCCGACGACGCACGCGTTTGAGAACCTCTCTCTTTCTCTTTCTCACTCTCTTCTCTCTAGAGCGCATCCCGCCCGCTGCTCTAAAATTCCGCTCCGAGATTCTCTCTCGTGCCGATTTGTATATGACACACACCACGTATTCTCGTAAGTGACTTGGCCCTCAACGAGATGCGGTCGATATTGTTGCACAATGATTTTGTTACCGAGCTGATACCGTGCCGAAAGCTCATGCGCTTGACACGTCGAAATATCGTGTCTCGAAAGTTTATTTTAAAAACTCAAGTATTTCGTGTGTGCGCGTTTGGAGAATGAGTGTCTAGGAAAAAAAAAACAACGTTCGATTTCTACATATTTAATTTATTGCGCGCATAAATTTTTGCCGTTTTCACTTTACACACTTGTTACAACTTTACCGCGCGAGCAATGTTCCCCGATCTTGTTTCGCGTTTTTAACGTTGAGAAGAAAAGATGTAACATTCAATATCGACTGTTTTTTTTTTATTATTATTATTATTATTATTATCAATGCACCCCGCGTGGCATTTCGGAAATGAAATATCGCAATTATTTTTAACTGTCATTTCGCGCTTCTCCGACACGCAGTTGATCTCTTGTACAAAACTTCGCGTCTGTTACGTAATCCAAAATATGGATTACAATATTATATTTGAACAATTTGTTTTATTCACTTTGAAGCAAGGAAATGCTAGAGAGCGTGATCTCTCTCTCTCTCTCTCCTTCCACGACGTGTGCGTCGTCGTGCGTGCATTAGAACAATCTCATTTGCCAGCCATTATATCGGACGACGAAATTATCGTACAATAAAACATCGACTGCCGTGGAGGTAGTGCCTGCCGCACTTACTTCAAGATCCCTCCTATTCGTCTCTATACGCCACTTTTAGTGCTTAAATCAGCTAAATGCAATCCGCGATCTTCCACAAGGAGAAAGATACGACCGACGAATGTTAAAAATGGAATGTAAAGTCCGTTTTTTTCTACGATACGACGTTTGATTGAGGAACAGTGTCGTCGTGATATCGCGCGCCCGTGACTAATAAATGTTAATCACAATGTTGAAAATGGCGGCGACATGTATAACAGATATCCGATAACGAATTCGAATGTTTAGAATCTTCACGAGATAATTTGATATCTTTCTCTTCGGAAACTACACTTCTTTGTTTACAACGAAATAATTATCTTTCTTTTTTACTTGCCCGATTAAATTTGTTTGGTAAAACATAATTTGAAATAATACACCTTTCAATAGCAAAGTTGTTTAATACTGCAAATGTAACAATTTATACAGCACAGTTGTAAATATAAATTTTTTCAAATTAGCTTAAACGATTATTGTCGACACTTGATGGAGTCACTTTTTTTGCTGAGTACGTTGTCAAACAAAATCAACACGTTTTCTCTCTCTCTCTCTCTCTTTCTCTCTCTGCGTCGTATATGTGCTTGTCGCATTTAAATTCAATTTGAAATTTTTGTTGCGCGAGAATTGTGGAATTATATCAGTCGGGTATAAAAATTGCATTCCGCGCTGAATGAACAGCATACCTCGCGTAGGCAGGCGAAATTCCCTCCGGTGCGATACTCACGACGAACGTCGTTGGCTTTTACGTGCATCCGACAACATAAACAACCAACGATCGATGAGATATCCCCGTCGATTATTGAATTAAAAGAAAGGACACGCGGCGCGAGAAATCGTTGTAAATTTTTGCGAGAGAAAGGCAGAGAAGAGAAACGGTTCGAATTCGCAATTCTCGCGCCTTGTCGCGATCGACCGTTCCGCGACGGAATTATCGCGTGCATTGACAGGGAGGGTTAAAGTCATCAAAATAGGGGCTTGTGCGCGCCAAGCGTGGTGTGTGCGGTCGATAGGATATTCGTTGCGGCTTGCGGAATATTGCGTCGCGGCCGATACACGTAAATAGACGAGAAAAATCTAATCACGAGTACCCGGATCGAGGACGATGACAATCGTCTGGTTGTCGATAGTCGCGGGCAACAACAAGCGGAAGCCGCGCTGGTGTCAGTTGAACAACTCGGCGAGACGAGAGTTTCAAGGCGTGTAATCGCTGGCCGTTTAATTGTCGCGGAATCGGGCGGCAAAAAAAATTCAGTCTCGATTTACCATATAGCGCCGGGGTCATCGTTGGGTCGAATATCCGCGCCGAAACAATTCCGAGGGGGAGGGGAGGGGAGAGGTGAAGAGGAGCATCAGTCAACGTGCGAGCCGGTCGGACGGACTCGCGCGTTTGAAAACGGTCGTGTGCCGCACGCGACGTAATTCAAAAAATTCACTGTCTTGCACGTCCGTTTCTCGAAGGTTCGACGCGGAAGCGAGTAGAGCGAGGAACACATCACCGTCGCGTGCACGCGCGAGAAATCCGCGTCGCGCTCCCGAAACCCGCATCGCCGATTACTGGAGAGCTGAGAACCGTCAAGTTTTTCGCGCCAACCATGATGATTTAACCTGCAAAAGACCGCGGGAAGCGCGTATGCGAGAATTGGCGAAAAACGAAGAGGCGAGAGCGAAACGCGCGCGTGTACACGTCCATCGATCACAACGTCGTGCGTTATTGCGTTCAACGGTTGCTGCGACTCACCTGTAGGCCGGCCCTGGCCGAACGGGAGACCGCCTTTGCCTTTGCCTTACCCGAGTCCTTGCCCGCTTTTCCGCCAGCCTGTTCACACACGAAAATCACGGTTAATTTGCGAGATCTGGCCGCGAAACTCGGCCAGTGAACGGAGGGGAGTCGGCGGCACGTGGGGCTGCATCCGGCGGCCGCGGATGGCCGACGTGCACGACGAAAACTCGTGGATACTCACCATTGCGCGACGCAGATATTCAGCACTCACTCAGCACGAAAGAGTCGCGAGCAACCACGAACGACGCCGTCTAAACGCGATGAGCCCGCCAAATACGCTTGGCGCTGCGAGCGCGTGCTGCGACCGTGCCACGTGACCGTGCGCCGGCTAATAGCAGCGAAGAACGCGCGAGCGGGCCGCCACCTGTCGACGAGTCGGCGAGTTACCGCGCCATTTTCTGGTAAGACTCGTGCGCTGTAACGACTTCGGTTGCCCGAGAACTCAACGTCGTTTTTGGTCGTTACGACTCATTGGAATTTACGAAATACGACGATAGCTCTGATGTACGAATAAGATTGTAACAAATAGAGGAGAAAATTGAGTAAAATATGCAATACGCAATCGGCAAACTGCACAAAAAGCTATGCTCTAATATACATCAGACCTGCGTGTTCATAAACAATTATTTTTTTGTATATAAATGTCAAAATAAAAACGAAACGTTGCGTCTTTTTTGTGTCAGACAAAATAACGTCACAAAGAAAGTTACTTTTACGTCGTACAACGATTCTCATTGTTTTGTATAATTAATATTATATTAAACAAAATTGATACATACGTATTAATTAATTTTTAATAATACCGCAATGTTACACGTGTTTAATTACTGATGTAATTACTATTTGGATAATGTATATCGAACTATTAATAATAAATATTTTTTACTTTGGAAAACAATTGAGAAATAATTGTTGCACAATATGTATACTTGTTGTTACAACATATTTCGCAAATGTTTAATCAAGTTTTGATTGCATTTCCGAGCATGCTTCGGTAAAGAAATAAATAAAGATGTTGAACTGTGTTTATTAGATTAAACAATAAAAATACTGCATATTCATTGATTTGTAGAACACAAGTATGTATATATATATATATATCGTCGTAAAGTTTATTTATTGGCAGGAAAAGGCAGTAAGATTTTCATATACAAAAGGACTGCTTACAGAAAATACGCCTCTACTCGTGGTGATATAAAAATTACAATGTAAAGAGCGCGAACGAAGCGGTAGTTTGTTTATATCTGTGACCGACTACACGACCTTGTGTCTCTCTTTGCAATCGGAATAATATCGGCAGTTATTAAAAAAAATGTGTGGTTTGTGACGCAACAATCGGAGAATCAAAGTAGGAACATACGTTTCCACAGTAAATGTGTCTTGATACTTTTTATCTGAAACATTATAAAAGTAGCTGAGAACGGCCAAATTTCTTCTGTCTGAGAAACTTTTATCGCATCGTGTTGTTTCTCGTCGTCGTACTCTTAAATTCGAATTAATCGAACCACATGACTGTGCGATTTCAGGTATCGAAAGGCATCGACACCCAACACGAATATTCGATTATACGTGGAATTCGAACTCTGCCCGTGTACCTGACTCCCGTGCGGTATTAATCGGTTGCGTAATCCACACACACCGTATCTCACGGCCGCATCCAACAGGACCATCTCTGTATTATCGAAGAACCCCGTTGCCCTGTAGTCAGTTGCCGGGCGCACGCAGAAGAGACGCGGCCAGGCATCAACGTGCCTTCCTCGCGCCGATATCGACTTCGTCCGATGCGCGCGGTACTTGCGCGCTAACGCAGCAATTTTTCCCGCCATTTTTATTCGGCCATTTCGCCGCCCTGCCCTGCGCGTCACCTGCGTCCTTCGACCCTTCCATGACCGTTGGTCTCAAGACCTGCTCTCTCTCTCTCTCTATTGTGCTGTCTCTTATTCTCTTGTTTACCGTATCGCTCGCGCTCGTTTTCTCTCCGTTTCGTGCCTCCCGTTTTTCTTTGAGAAGGAAATTTCCGACGCTCGTCTTTTAATATTGCTCGTGGTTTGCCTCCGCCAGCTCGTCGCATTTATCGTCTATATCGCCCTGAAAATCAACATTTTCGCTGGAAAATAATATTTCTCTCCCTACATTAAAAAATAATGTACATTTTTCACAAATATTTGTGTTTTTTTTTCGGAAGAAAAAACAAACAAAAGCCAGAATAGAAAAATGAATAATTAATCGAGAATTGGTAGTAGGCTCCAAAATGTATAAAATATTAACAAAAGATATGGCTGGGGGTTTAGACAGATGTTGATTGGCATGTTATATAATATTGTTTATTGAAATAATGTATTATATAATATTGTTTATTGAAATAAACAATACATTTCAATAAACAATATTATGTAACACACCAACATCCGGACTCCCACTGGCCTTATCTTTTATTACTATTTTAAAATAAATCCGATATTACCTCGTCGAGCTGTAGACATTTGCCCCACTCGATTAACGTGATCTCATGATCGTTGTTGGCATCGCAAGAGTCCAGGAACGGCGCAATGCAATGCTCGAGGGCCATCAAGGGCGCTCTAATCGGGAAGAGTTCGTGTCTGGACACCGTCCGGTCGTGCGGATGGCCGTCCAAGTCGCACCACTTCCAAATCGCAGCGTTCGTCCAGCGTACCGTGTGATTAGTCTCGGCCTCACGTTGCATCTTCAGGTAGTGCGACGGCAGTTCCTGACGGTCCGCCAAATCGCGCATGATGTTGAACAGCCAGTCGCGCATTCGCCTGGGAAAATCGGCCATGTCCTCCTCTTTGCACGTCTGCACGCACACGAAAAAGCGGATTTAATAAAAATTTATCGAAATAATTGAAAGGAAATATTGAGCTTACGCGGAAAAAAACGATGTCAAGCATCAGTTTAACTGGAACATATTACGGCAGTCCGTGACTTTAATTGAAGCAACTCTACTTTTTCCGTGTAAAAAAACCGATAAAAAATTTGTTTTTTAATTTCAGCGGGAAAAGTCCGTTAATATAGAGAAAAACGGAAAAGTATTGCTCAATAAAAATATGATCATTCAGAAGCGAGCAATGAAATACTATTCGCAGTTGGAGAAAGAGAGAAAGAGGAAATAAATTTCTTCTCTTTAATTGAGACTTCGGTTTGTTATTTGATAACAACATTTCCGCGTTCTGCTGCCACATCTGTGACAGAATAATACTTACGGGCATCTGTCGGCACTCGCCGTAATACTCGATATGAACGTGCTGATAGGCGGGACCCCTGCACCTGGCGTCACCGGTGTCGCAGAAACAACGCGCCTGATAGACCTCGCAGTCGCTGCCGAAGGTCTCGTTGTGGTTGGTGCAGACCTTGCGACGCGGATCGACCTCCGAGTTGCAGACCTCCACGCAAACGCACTCGGCCGTACCCTCTTCCGTGCTCTGAAATTCAAGATACATACATTCCGTGCACGTCTCCGCCGAGAGAGAGAAAATCTTTTAGCGACGTTATGTTTGTCTTCTCCTATGTGTGACGACGAACCTTGCAAATCCGACCAGCTCCGCAGTGCTTTTCTATGCACGGGTCCTGGAGCAAGAGCTGCTTCGCTCTGACCTCGTTTTTGCCATTTTCGAGGCTGACCTCAGCGGCGTCCGCCTCCTCAGCGGCCATTTCGTCAGCTTCTAACATGTTCATGATCTCATCCTGCACGGGCGTCTCCGTGGTGGTAGTGCGACGTCGAGTTTTTCTCCTGCGCTGAGAATTCGTTGCGACGAAAAATTAATGGATTAAGTTTGTGTTTCTTTTCGCACTTTACACAACAGAGAAAAAAAGAGGAGGAAAGAGAACATATAAAGTTTGTGCGTTATAACGAATGACGTTAGTACCTGGACGGAAGCATCCGCTATCAGCACCGTCACCAGCAACGCAATCAACAGCAGTTGCAGCTTCGTCCACATTGCGATTTCTGCGACAAATCGATGTCAATGAGAACACACACGTGGTGCATCTTCGTTGAAATAATCAGCTTGAATTGAAATGAAATGGCTCGAATAGAGAGACCGAATACCATGATATCTGGAGCAATGGTGTCGTTATTAATCCAAACACGTTTCCGTCGACCGCGAATTGTAAACTCCTCAAGTAACATGACCCTATTCATTAAGTTATACGCCATCCATAGATGTCTAAATGAATGTAAATCAATAACAATTTAAGTTTTCGCGATGGATTTTTCAATTTCCATAGGAGAACTGAATATTTCACGCATATGTGATGCAGGCATCGTACGTGCATTTTTGAATTAAATTTAATTCGAATTTTGTGTATTAATTCACACGTTTAAGAAAAAGCGAATATATTCATATTTGCATTCGCGGCACATAGACCGTATCGACTCTCAATACTTTCTTGTAAGTGTAAATCATTTTAGAGAAGTTCGCGTTTTAGAGACGCGAGATCGAATCAGCGAATTTGAAAGAAAGTAAATTCAAAAGAGAAGAAAGGGCCAATAAGAGCCTTGGACACAAATATTTGGTTTCAAAACTGGAGATTAGTTTATAAAACTTGCAAAATAATCCGTCACTGGTGTTCACTGCATTTGACAATCAAGAGAAACGGTTTGAGATTTTGACGAGTCGTGTCTTTTCGTATAAAAATTTAGTTTACGTAAGTTTTATTTTTTCTTTGATTCCTCGTTCAATTATTTCAATTTGTATTAACAATACCCCAGATTAATTTGACTGTGTTATTATACAGAAACTTGCCATCTTTTTTGGAAGATGATCCAATCCTGGATCGAAACGTTAAAATAAATTAATATTTTTTTTTACACAACACCATCTGTGTCCAAGGCTCTTTCTCCCCTTTTTATTTATTTATTTTTTTTTAATTCTGGAGCTTTCTATATCTTCACATCAGAAAGGAAGACTTTCTACGCAAGAGTTCAAAGCGTATTTGCGTTGCGATTCGTTCTGGTCTTTCAAAAATAAAAAAAAAACATAATAATCGACAAGAATTGCAAACACATAATATCTCGCGAAGCATAAAATCCCTATTTTTCTCGGAATAGATCCAAGTCTCTTAAAGCCCGGAAGGGGTTAATATCCTCGAGCTAAATCGGGTGCGGTTCTGAAACGTGTAAATAAATCAGCCGTCGTTTCTCGTTTAATGTTTTATTACTCGCGGCGTTCCCAATTGGCATTGGCATGAAAGACGAATCGCGTTTCCTCGCGCGACACATTCGCGCGCGTTTCGAAAAATCTCTGGATCGACATAACACACGCACGCACGCACGCATCCCGCGCGGGTCAACTACGACGATAAATATCGCGAGACCTTAATACGAGCAACGAAGCGATAACCCAGATATTTGAAAACGAAGTCGTTCCTCATCAAGACACATCCGCGCGTCTTCTCGCATTCATTCCACGAATCCGTAGATAGATGTACAATGGATTTATTTATGTCGCCCGCGCTTCATATTGTCGCATTTCATTTAACGGAGACTGTATAAGAACATGCTACTCATAGCGCTCGTCAGCAATTGACTGCTGCATTTGTCAACGAATAAAATTTCGTCTTAAAAGCTTTGTCTTAAAAAAACGAAATTAAATAAAATTAAATAATCACGAAGAATTCGACGACGAAACAAAGAAAATACTTTTATCTGTGTGTTATATTTTATTTATATACAAAATCATCATTTTTTAACTACATATTATATTTTTAAACATAAGAGAGAGAGAGAGAGAGAGAGACAGAGAGAGAAAGTGGTCAATTGCGACGGCCGCAATGTATATAATCAGAGAAACTATAATCTTATCAAAAAGCCGCTCGCGACTCCGCGAAAAGATTGCGTAATGTGTACTTGAGTATATACGCGACAGCTATTAATACGTAACGCGTAACCGGGGCTGACGGGAGGAGGGTTAAGTTTCAGCGTAACGGGTTAAGGTCTTCTCGTTCGTTTCTTCTCCGTACATGCAGAGAAAGAAATCGGCTGATTCGCGCGGCACATACGCCACACAACATATCGCGCTCATCTCGATGGCGGGCGCAGCGCGTCTGCGATGCGTTGCGCGGCTTCCTTTCTGGAAAGCGCAGCGCAGCAGAGACGCGACTTACACGCTCGCGTAGGAATCGCACACATGGCCCTCTTTTTTTTTTTTTATCGCGCTTCACTCGACGTGGGCGAATCGCCCAGTGTGGAAACGAACAAAAGAACAGAGATTGCTGAACATTACAACGGAAGCAATTCGTGCGCGCGTACAGTTTTGTTGCGCGTACACATATAATTGCACAAATAAATTTTAAAATTTATTTAAAATTATCTTTAAAAATTATTTGTTCATCATAAATTTGTGTCGCTTAAACTTACTGCGGACACAGAAATACTTTGGCTTTTGTTTTTTCGGCGAAACAATGACTCTATTTTCTGTGAAAAACACAAATGAAATAAACTTTGAGTTTTTTTGTCGCTTCGTAAATCGATGCTGTGTACAAAATACACAAAAATGTTGAAAACAAAATGTTTTGTCGATGGTGGCCTCGATGATGTAAACCTTGTTTATGGAAACGTTATTTTCACGTTTTCGCTCGACTGGTCGACTGTTACTGCCCACGAAACGTGTAATCCCATAAAACTCGGAAACATCAAGGACGTACACGTCTTACCTATTTACCATCTCCGCCAACGCGGAATTAAAAGTTAACCACTTTGTTTCGCGGCGCGACGCTGAATGCGTTGATTCGATTAATCTAGTCCAATTTGTTCGTTAACGAGCGGAAGTTTACACATAAATCGATTATTATCACGAGTAATAGAACACAGACGGGACCACAAACCTCCGTTAGATGTTCATTAAACGTCGCACGGAATTACGAACGTCCATTAGACGACGTCTACAAACGGACGTTCTTATGTCTGAGCGAGGGAAGGTTACGATTGCGATTATAGTCTGACGATTAAAATTGTCTGACTAAATTTTCAAACCCAAATTAATCGCGAGAGGTGTAATAATATCTCATCTTCTTCAATGTGTTCTCGCTAGGAGAACATGACAGTAATCCACAACAGAATTTCCGTTCCAGAAAAGGGACACAATTTCCGAGAAGCACGTGACAAGAGAGAGATAATTCAGTTGTAGATATGCGCCCACTGGTAAAATCATCCACACATACACACACACGCGCGCGCGCATGCAGATTTCATGAAGAAAGTGACTCACATATATATCAACTTACTTTATATGTGAAAATTAATATGTTCAAAATGTTTTTTTTTCTCACGGTGACTGCATTTGAAAGATATTACCTTCATCGTACGAGTTTTTATTATTTTTTCTCCAGATAGAATTCGAGTACGTGAAAATAATACGCGCCGCACACTTTCCCACTTTCGGTGATGGAAAGTTTGACCGGAAACCAGTTATTCGACTCCGGAAAGAAAAGAATTGAAACGCGCACGCAAAGAACGGATGAGAATCGTAATAAGCTTAGAAAAAGAATGCTTTTATGATGCGTTTTGAATTCTGCCGATAGATCGCTGGCGGTTTATTTATTCTCGTGCCCCTGCGCGCGATTATACGACTTCTCGCAATTCTCGCGTGTCGACGTATTCGCGGCATATAATTTTTTCATCACGCGACAAACGCTCGAATTAAGTTTGTTAATTCTGTAAACTAATTTACATGTTTCAAATTTAAAAACGAAGGAAATTGTGCGTGCAAAAAAAGACTTTCAATTGTAAATCACTTTTCAAAACGGTCAGCAAACAGTTATCGCGCCATACCTTTCACGCAGCTTCCCCACGAGGTACTTGCGTCAGTTTCCTTACTCGGCAAGCAAGATCGAGATGAGTGCAGCCCTCCAAATCGGTCGCTGGACCGGTATTGACTGCGCCCGAGGCGCGAAGCCGTGCTGTGGCGAGCCTATCGCGGCTCCCGACCGGAGAGGAGAGATGATCTCATCTCCTCTCGCGTTTTTCTTTCTCCCTACACCCCCGTCTGTGTGATCTTTCCATCGTTATGTACACGCGTGTACGATCTTGTACATGCCCTGTCCGTCATGCGTTCCGTCTTACGCAATGCGTCGGGCTCGCGCCGCACACGGCCGACGTCACATCGGTGATGTTTTGAAAACACGAAGTTGTCTCTGACTTGACTCTTTTCTCCTCCGCAACGAGTTGCTCCTCGGCTTTTGCTTAGAAACTCCTGAGAAATCACTCAGAAAGCAATAGATACGTATTTAAATTATATTGAAAATAATAAATCACTAGTGTAAAATTGTTTAATAAAAATGTTTACAAATGCGCGCAGTGAGAAAACACGTTTGAAGTATTAAATCGCACGAGCGCGCAGTTACTTTTAATATTTTAATATCACACGTTACGTGTGTCGCAATTTTTGAACTGATCTACAAAAGTTAGTTAAGAAATATGTAAAATAGAAAAAGTAATAAATAAAGAAAAAGTCTCGCTGACGTCAGAGTCTTATTGTTAGTTGAGAGATTTGTCATAAATCTCTCGTGCGAACGTAATTGCGAATTCCACGGCGACTACCATCTTGGTGTACGACCACGTTTCGCTGCCGATGAATCCCAAGTAGTGCTCAGCGGCAATTTCGACAAAGCTGCTTGTGTATGTAGAGAAAATGTGATTTAACGCGCTCGAGAGCTTAAACTAATAAAATTCAAACCAAACTGAGAGAAGCGCACGCATCGCAAATAAATGAGAAGAGATGCCACGTAGTTAGTTGTTTTTTGGTGTAGTATATAAGGTAGGTACGTATATTGTACTAAATGCAAAAATTTACAATACATTTGATGTTTTTTTTTCTTATTTTTCTTTTGAACATTATTTTCTTTTTTTTTATATCGCAATAACGTTTATCTTTAACTGATTATACACACAAACTGGTCTGGCCGACCGCGAAAATAAAAATGTATGCTACAAAAATTCACAACTTATTAACCACCATCCTATTATTACATTGTTATAATTATTTTTATATCTTATTATTCTTTTCTCTCTTTCTCTCTCTCTCTCTCTCTCTTTATATATATATATATATATATATATATGTATATATATATATATATATTCTTCTTTTTTATATATTTGTATTATTATATTACTTAAAATCAAAAACATTCACACTAAAAATTTGCAGAGCCTCTCTTTCGAGTTATGTAAAGCGATGATCTCTCTTTCTCTCTTTCTTTCTTCCTTTCTCTCTCTCTCTCTCTCTCTCGCATAAACTGCGGCTTTGAACACGTTGTACTTGAACACACGGATATGCACATGGACGTAGTAAAGTCAAACGGTGTGAGTGAGCGTGTGGAACATTTTTATTGTAGGTGGCAGGCGAAAATCGGAAGTCATATTAAATTTGCGCGATTGCAAATATTAAAACTACATCTCATCCAGCACTTTTCATCTCAAAACACTTTTTCTCTCTCTCTCTCTATCTATCTATCTATCTCTCTCTTCTCTTCAAATTACTAGAAACTGGTCTTAGATACGTGAGATAAAAACGATAATGGAGAGCCAGTCTACCTCGTTTTTTTTTAATGTACAAGAGGACGCAGAATGTGACATTTTCTTTCATACAAATACTTCTTGTTGAAATATATATATATATATATGTATACGCTCTACATACGTGTACAAAGGTGAAGCAACTAGCGCTTCAGTGTTTGAAAATTCTCTCTTTCTAAGTATATGTTACGTCACGTTTACGATATATCGTATGTGTAGGTATAAGAGAAATTACTTTACCACTGCGTTTTAACCAACAAACATACAAGATAAAGTGCAATTCACTCTAGTAAAAATTTTGCATTAACTGAGCACGTATCACTTAATAATATACCAATACCAAAATCTTTTTGTGTAATATATTCTTCAGCACTTTGCTATGTCATGCTACTGGGAGTGTGATTCGATGATAAAGTCAAAGTGTTGAAAGAATTTGTTGCGGGTGTTTATCGCGTAATGTTCTCACCGGTACGTGTTTTTGTGTTTTATATGGAACTTTCGTGTAACAGTTATATCGATATCTAAGTATAATTTATATATAGGTGTGTGTGTTATATATTGAAAGTATGTAAAAGAAAAATTATACACCTTTCAATTATATAAAACTTTTCCGCAGTAAAACGGAAGCTACTCGATAATTGATGCAAGAATTGGAAAAAATATCACATCTCGGTTTTTTCGTTTATTATTAAGTCAGTAAATTAGCATCATATATCGCTAAAAAGTTTTCTACTAGCATAAATTACTTATACAGTATTTTCGAAAATAAAACGACAATGTGTGTGTGTGTGTGTGTGTGAGAGAATAAAAAAAAAAGACAAAACAAGAAAAAAAATTAAAAAAAAAACAATCTACTTCTTCATCGCCCGCGATTATAAATTTTTAAAATTCCTATAAAACACATTCTAGTTTCTGCCGCAAGGAAGAGAGAAGTGATAAAGTTAAATGCTCCATCCTGTATTCTTCTGATTTAAGATTTAATGATCATAATTGTTTTTTTTTTGTTTTTTTTTTGTTTTTCTTTTTTATAACAATACTAAGATGGCAATGCCTATCCACAAAAATTCAAAAAACGTTTGTAATCGTACTAAACTAACTTATAAAGAGTTAAAGATTCGACGGGTCAAATCTTCCATTTTCTTTTCTTCCTACATAGCGTTTAATATAATTCTATAACAGAATATATAAGTATATAAGAGTAAGATGCATATTTCGGATGTATTATCTCAGACGAGGGGACACATTATTTGTCCGTAGAATAGGATTTGTCCAGTTGGTTTTTCTTCCGTTGCTAATTGTGAAAATATATTATAGCAAAAAACCGCAGATGCGCAGCTACGCAAAACCTATTCCTTTATCCGCGTCTGGGTTTGGGGATTAACGACCGCATCGTTCATTCGCGGCCGTCATCGCTGTCGTCTCGGAACAAACATCTCAAACGAGAGAGACATCGCGCGCTAAGAGATTAATACTACGTCGTAATGACAAATATAGTTTCTAGGAAGTTTAAAAAAAAAACAAAAAATGTAACATTAGACGAAGTCGGGATGCTGAACAGTCTCGAGAGAATCGCGAGAAGAAACGCAGTCGTCAGAACCCAGACGCGAAGTGTCGCCCGATACACACTTTTTTTTTTTTCATTAAAAACTATTGCGAAGTCGCGCTCGTGCGTGATGATGTAGATTAATAATTCCCTCCGTGATTTCGCAAAGATGAGAAATACAAACCGGCTAAAACTCACTCTACGCACACATACATGCGTATATCACTCATATACACATACGCACTCACACATTCACATTCTTTCGTATTTTCTGCGCACACATATATACGCACACGTACACGCACGCGCGCTCCTCGATATACATAATATATTTTTATAAATGTTTAAATTATCGTAAATACACAAATTTTTCGATCGTGAAGAATCAACTTTTCAATGTTTGTCGCATCATCTCTGTCGTAAATAAAATGGCACGTGTGTGTGTGCGAAGATCTCGTTCCGCTACTCTTTTTTTCGCGTTACGAGAATCAAATATTTAATTTTCAAAATTGTTTACTTTCTGCAAAAAAAAAAAACTGCGAGCGAATTTCAATCGCCCGTGAGGTTAAAGTTTTTGTAAAGATATGGGAGTTTGATAGGCCGCGGAAGAGAGACGCATTGTTCAGTCCCTGATAATCGCAGGACTTTTCGCGTGCGAGCTGTATGTGTGTGTTGTTTTATTGTGACTAGAACCTTTCCACCGCGTCTCTCAAAAATAAACCCGCTACGAAATCACTGCGTCGAGAAGTACAAGAAAACGAATGAGTCTAAAGAGAAACTAACGGATGATACAATTTTCGAAAATATTTCAGTCAGTACTTTTACAAAAAAAAAAAAAAAAAAAAGTGGTCTGATAAACGCTGTATGCACGCAAACATCGTCAATGTAATGAAAAACCATGCTCATTTTAAACATTTTTCCCTGTCCGTGGAAATGTGGCCGAAAAAAAATTTTCAATATAAACAACAATTACAATTTATCTACTTATTAATTTAAATACCAATTGATTGTGACAATTGACTGTCACGATAACAATAAACGATATAAATTTTTCATCAAGCTTGCAAAAAAAAAACTACTTGTACTGAATACAGTAAATTGCTATTATTTTTTCTTTTCAGCGATTTTTAAATCTCAGGCGTGAGATTTTGCATCGGATACACGTTATCTGTCGCGATTCAACGCGCACCGCGAATTTCTGCGATTACCAGAAGACAATTGTTGACTCTCGCAAAAAGGAAAAAACGCCGTCTCGCGAGCGATAATTAAGCGATAATTAAGCGATCGGGCGATACAACGTTAAATCGTGCGCGCGCGCGATCTTTGTGTAACTTTATCTAACGAAAGTAATAATAAGTATGTTGGAAAAGGGAGGTAGATGCCAGAATAGAAAGACTATAAAAAGAGGACAACGTTCTATATGGGGGTAGCTTAGAAAAAAGGAGAGGAAAATTATAACAAAGAAATACGAAAAGGAAGGAAAGACCAGAACAAGTTCTGGATCGCATTGGCGAATGGAGCGAGGAACTATGAAAAAAACAGTCGGAAAGAGAAAGGAAAGGGAGAAGAGAAAGAAGGATTACTTAGTCACGATCGATTCTAATCGATCGATGATCGGCTGTATAAATAGAAGAAAAATATCTCAGCGGAACAGAAACTAGACTGTCGTCGCCGCTCTTTTTTGTTTTGTTGCGTGCAACCGGGACAAAATCCCGGCGATTTTATAGTCGCGCGTCTTAACAATACTTGACAGAAGTTTCGGTCCGTAGGGAAAAGATTTCTAATCTATACACCAATTCTTCGCCCGTGACGACACCGTGAGACGTTCTGTTCGGCGGTTGATGAGTCGACTCGAAAGCGCAAAGAGAATACGCACGTCACAACACTCCGTAGAGTTCTTCCTTCAATCTTGTCCACAAGTGTCCGCTCTGTGTACACTTTAAAACCTCAGTTCTGCTGTCTTCTTGTCTCGTGATCGGCTGAAAGAAACAACCTAGGAGTGACAAATAACGTATGATACTCTAAAAAAACCACCCCACAAAGAGTTCCGACACAATTTCCCGACTTCAGATCACGTCTCGTCGCTTTTTTCTTTTTCTTTTTTTTCTTTTTGTTTACCATTCACTATAATTTTTTACCACACTCGGTTCACGTTCTCCTTTGAGAAGCTCCTTTCGGATTTGTCACACGGCTGCACGTGTTTTGTTCGCACTCCATTTTAGTGTGGGCTTCGTAAAGTCCTGCAGGATTGCCCGAATCTGTACGAAGAACGAACTCGAACCGGCAATTATCAGCTTGCTGACTGGTAAACACAGACGTTGAGTCACATTGAAGAAACAACTCTCGCGTGAGGACTCGCACGCGGAATCCTCTGTCCAAGAGATTTCCGACACGCGTCGAGGAAGGCGCGTTCGAGTTTCGTATTTCGTACGGTTTTGTTTTTTTTTTTTTTGTTTTTTTTGTTTTTTTTTGAGCTAATCATAATCTAGGATCGACCGTTACTCTTGTTTCTTGAACGTTGCAAGCGACGTTTTTTAAGCTTATAGACGTCGAGTGGCAGACGAAATAGTCCTGGATCCCAAAATTCTCGAAATGAAGACGGCAGATACAGATGGTGGTACCAGTGACTTTTTTAGTCAAGAGGGAGAAAATTAAAAAGATGCTGTTAACTGTTGCGTACTTGGCCGGGTATTAGCGACGGGGTTGGTAACCAGGATTGCTCGGATTGCCACCTGATTGTCGCATACTGCCGCCACCCCTGCCGCCGTCGCCTCGCGAAAATCCTCCACGGCCACCTCGTGAGCCGTGCTGACCGCCTCTCATCACGCCTCCAGGTCCACCTTATGTGATTAAAAATTGATACCAAATTAATTCTGTATCTTAGTATTTATTTCTGTAATCTTAGTTCCTGAAAATAGTAATTCTCAATTACCTGGTCCACGTTGCTGCTGCTGTTGGGATTGTTGACCGCCCATGGAACGCATACCGCCGTCACCGGAATTCAATCTGCCGCCGCTACCGTCCATCGGCATTCTAGGAGGTCTCACCTTCTTTTCCTCAACATTCAGCTTTTGTCCACTTTCGTCAGGATAATATATAGGCTAAGAAAAATGAAATTATTATAAGAAATAAAGTTGTGGTTTTTTTTTTACATTAAAAACATGTTTATATGGACGAAAAAAAAAATGAACAAACGTACCAAAGAACTCAAAACTTTTGTCACAACTTGTTGGTCTTCAAATGTGATAAATCCATAGTTAGGTACTCGGGCGGCATTATTGCTTCCGGGAGGTCCTTTACATCTGTCGTTTGTTTTACTGTGAACACGTAACTCGGCAACTCGGCCATACCGCTCAAACACTTGACGCAAGTCGTTTTCAGACGCGTTGTGTGGTAAGTTACCCAGGAAGAGTTGATGCGCATCACTGTACTGACCAGGTCGAGTACTGCGTCGTTCTCCATCTAATAAAACATATATGTAATAATATAAAATAACATAAGTTTATTCAACCTATAAAAACAAACTAAGAAAACTAAATAGAATGTGAAAGTATAAAATGAAAAAAGTATTATTAAATGTAAAAGTTGTGTTCATAAAAATAAGTGCTGCAACAATCAAGACAAAAATTATTATATTTTTTCTTACCTCTTTGTACGAGACCACCTCTTGGAACTCGTTGTTGTGGATGTTGCTGCTGCTGCTGCTGCGGAGGCTGATTACCGCCAACTCTATGCGCTTGTTGCTGAACTGTCGACACATTGTTGGGAACAGTCATAGAAGTTGGACCGTTGTTGGTAGGATGCAGTCCTGGCGATCTATCGTCTAAACGTAGATTTGTCATTGGCGGCTGTAAGAAAAAAAAAAAAAGAAATTTGTTTACACATTATATTTTATGATGTTATAACACAATAAAATAAAAAAACTCACCGGAGACATAGAGAGTTTGGGTGCTTGCGGGCTAGTAGCACCGCCACTGCTCGGGAAAGACTTTACCAAGTTAGCATAAGTCTTAGGTCCGCTATTGTTAACCGTAACATTGGAAGCTTGATGTTCAGGTTCGGTTTCCTGTGCGGATGCGTTAAAAGTCTCAGTCTCCTGTTGATCATTCCTCTCTTCAGTTTGTGTCTGCGGTTCGTTGTCACTTTGCTGTTGCTGCGGTTGTTGTTGCTGCTCACCATTTAATTCAGTCTCCTGCACAACCTGCGACTGTGCGGTTGGCTCTGCGATGTATTGATGTTGCTGCTGGGTTTGAGGTGACGGAGGTTGCACTTGTGGTTGCTGTTGATTAAGTTGAACTTCTTCGTGAACATTTCCGTTAAGAACTTGACGCATTACCGGATGTACCTAATGCGCGCGTGTGAATGTAAGTAAAAATTTTATACAATCTATGACAAACTATACAAAAAGGCAAGATTTGTGTACACCAGTCTTTTTATATTATCCAAACATTACTGTTTCTTCATCAATCGCAAACTATAGTGTGTACATTTCAACATTAACTTACCACGGTTGTTGGTGGTGCAGCATAATACAGTGGCTGCTGTGGTTGCAGTGGAGGTGGTTGCGTCGGAATGAGAGGCGGCTGAGCCTGTTGTTCAGCAGTTTGACTGGGAGCGCCTAATTGTTGGGCCTGAGTCTGGTGATCTTCTTCTTCAGGTTCCGTGCGAATTTCTTCAGCTTCTCTCTCGCCGCTCTCGCCGCTGTCTCCGCCACTTACGTCAGCTTCGTCCTCATCGGGAAAGATCATGTCTTGATAACGGAATATGTCATTATGGACATAATAGGTTTTCGGAGCCTGAACCGCCAACACAAAGGTTTGTGTAAAACGACGCATCGGTTGACCTGCGTTAGATAACTCGCCAGATACCTGCACAAAAGATCAGATTCATAAAATTCTCAAATTCACACAATGTCTCTGCATGACTCCTTCCTGTCGACCTTCGTTAAAACTAGAAAGCGCATTCTTCGCATTTCAATCGAAAATTCTATACTTAACAGGCGTAAAAAAAATAAAGAGAATAAGTTTTTTTTTGTTCTGTACTTGAAAACCTTGAACACAATTTCCAAAGTCCAACAATGTCTCTGCATGACTTCTTCCGACCCTTACATCGTTAAAACCATAAATAAGCGCATTCGCTTTGCACATATTTTAATTTGAAAAAATGTTTTTTTGTATTCTTATAAAAAACGTAAGATATCCTGTTGTTCCCGATTCTTACTTACAAAAGTCTACGCACAAAACTTACCTGAACAACTACTCCGTTCTCAAGAGTCAGTTGAGCATCGACTTGACTGATTTTGGCATGGCAATCTCGGAAGTTCAGTTGTTGTATTTTTTGATGGATTTGTTTTTGGCCGATCGCTGGTGTGCACTCTCTATTAGAATCCAATCCGCCATGGACAAACGAAGAATTTTGATTGTAAAACCTGAAATTAAGAAAAAAAAATAAAAAAATATATTTGAAATATAGCGTTTTCTAAGCGATAAGATATCTGTAATGATATACAAATTACGTTAAAAAAATACACAACTAGATAAGTATCAGGTACCTGTGGAGATGAGCTGGAGCTTGATTCAGTAGGGTGTAGTATTGGCGTACAAACTCGCGCCCCACCGATTGTGGAGACGGTGATGCCTCCATTACCATTTTAATTTTTTGGCTTGCAAGAGGATAATTTGCTGCTAACAGCAAACTGGATGTTTAAACTAATGAAATCTTGGATGTTATTGAAGATGTCTGAAACATAGAGAAAATCACAGATATCGCAACAAATGTACAAAACAACTACATTTTAATGGAATAATTTACAAAATGGACCCTAGCACATTAGATATTTTTTACATGATAATTTACCGATCACTTTGATATTTATTATTCCATTCCTAATAAAATCTCACTTTACCAGCCGATTTAAATTCAACACAGCCAAAAATATTCAGATAGTTTTAAAGTAAAAAAAAAAAAAAAACGAAAAATATTTTAATTTACTTGAAATTGAAAAAACACGTAAAAAGCTCTCGAATATCTTCAAGCGTTAAATCGTCATTAAAAACGGCACAAGGATTTATCCCAAAGTCTTAGTGATGCGCAAAAATCGAAGTGATACCACGACACGCCGTAAACACAAAGGGACTGGCAACGCGTGTAGCGTAGCTCGATGGAGCGCATGGCAAAATTTTTGCGACCATCTCTCTCTTCCCCGCTTCGCTCTCGCCCCTACCCAGCCACTCATTTTCTTTGTCCCTCTTTGCCCAATCCGTGCAGAGCGTAGAACTACGTAGAATTCTCCCGTAGCACGTGCTTCTCTATCCCGAATTATTTCTCGAAAATTCTTTTTTTTTTTTTCTGCCTCATATTTCGCTCAAAACGTGCCCTCTCGGTTTCCCGCACACGGACTCTTGGTATTTCCGGCTCGCAGAAAATCCGTTTCTCGGCGTTTCCGTGGCGAGAGGAGGGCACGTCGCGCGAAGGAGACGAGGGAAGAAGCAACGGGAGTGCGCGGCGTTGTTTCTCCTACCTCGTGGAGAAACGAGAAAGAACGCGCCCGGTTGTGGGCTCGCTCGCGCAAGCATGGCGATGTGTTGTCGCCTCCGCCGTATCTCGCGAACGAAATCGCGAGACCAAATAGGATTCGCAGCAAGGTCAAATCGCACGTAGGAAGTTGCAGCCGCGCTACGTCGTGTCTCACGCGAGCCCGCGAGATCGCGACAAAACACGCGACGGAGGCGTTCATTCTCCAGCATGTTCTCGCCAATTGTAGGAGCGGTTTTGCAAAAAGCGCATAGAGAGCTGATCGCCGCGGGAAATATAGGCTGATACTTGGCGGCAAACTAGTATCAGCGTTGATAACTAAGAACACTTACCAAACGATGAAAGACGAAGCGAGCAAGCCACACGGGGACGCGCTTCTTTTCAGGAGTACTTCGACCGGCAGCAGCGCCTGCTTATCGCGCGGGAAGCTGAACCTTCCGAGCGAACGTTTTCGCGACGATGGAACGCGAACTATCACCGAAGAGACACACGAAGATTTGACTATTATGTGGCAATTATAAAAACAATTCGCGCAGAGATAATCTTACGATGATGCGAGGTGCGATGATCAAATCAGCGTCCTGCACGGTCCTCGAACTAGCTGTAGCCAGCACTGGTCAGTCGGTAAATACGTGCAGCGCGTAAAAGATGTGGTTCAGAAGTGATCCTGCTGGTGAATGTCGAGTCACAGGTAGGTTGCGCAGCGCCACGAAACGCCATCACGGGCAACATCGAGAATAAACGAGTATCGACGTCGATTGGTCGAACGGGCGAATGTCACGCGAAAAAATTCTCCAATCAGAGTTGAACGACGTCCTCCACGCGCAATTGTCATTGCAGTGTTTCAGTTTTGGAACCCCAACAATATGTTGCAGCAATGGAGGGGATGTTCACAATTGCTCAAACCCCTTGCACAATGGACGGAATAGCGATAGCGATAGAAATAACACCAGTTTTAAAGAGTTTATATTTATAAATAACGGTAGGAACAGCGGAATCTAATATACAAAACTACACATGTATCAATGCAGATCGGAAAACGGAATAAGCAATAGCGATAAATTTTCCGACGAATTGAAATTCTGTGTCTATTGCTTATCGCTATCGCTATTCCCTCGCATTGTGCAAGAGGCTTGGGACTTTGACTGCACCCCTGGTTCAGTAAAACAAGCTATTTTACAGCAATCGAACGTGATTGGCTCTTACTTTTAGAATCAAATAATCAACGTCGCTTGTTGACAAGACGACAAACTTGGAAATTGTTCCGCTGAACACGGCCATTATCGTGTTTCAAAGGATGCGTTCAGACAACTCAACAGTTGCACAACGGTCGAGAGATAATCACTTCTGATTGGATCATACTTTTGGATCCGATTCAGATTTTGAAGAATAGTCCTATCATAAGTGACGATCTCTCAACCGTTGAGTTGTCTGAACGCATCCAAAGATAACAGATCTTTAGCTTTTAGCTATTTGGCAAATCAACCAATCACATTGCTCGATTAACCGAAGTGATGTTATTAATCGCTTGGGCAGCGACTCACCCGTACTGGTCGAAAACGCTATTGGTTGACGCTCGGTCCTCATCGGGAGCGCTGACGTTTTTGCGTCGTTTTGCGTTCATAGATATTCACATATGTGAAAATGGATACGTGAGTTGTTCCGAAAATCAGTTGGTCCGATTGATGGTGTGGTGGTTGATCGCAGGCCAGCGAGCTGCGCAATCAGTGCAATCCAAGGTTTTGGGACTGATCTGCCAAATGAAACGTTGATAAACATGTAGCTTGCCGCGAGTCGATCGGGCTCTCTTGTGGCTTCTTAGCGTAGTGATTTGTTCGGTTTAGTAACGTTGTAATAAACCAAGCTCGTTCTCGCGTTCCATGAATTCTTCACTCGCTCATACGTGAGTAAAACGTAATAGGTATATTATTATTTATTTCTTAAACATATTTTTATTTCTTTCTTTCTCTCTTACGCACACGCGCACACGTACACACATTTGACGTGTACATACGCACGCACAACTCGTGCAACGTTATAAACGGTCGTTCGACAACGAGATTATCGTTGCCGCGTGAAAGCTTACGTTGACAAAAATTCTCAATGTATACGGTGGTTGAGAACAAAGTTAGCGAGTCGATCAAATTGTCAAGCGGGTAACGATCTTGTGGGTTTTGTTTTAGGTTAACAGAAAATGACAGTATTAGAAACAGAGGAAGACGCAGATGAACGCTCGCTTCCTCCCAGGAAGAAGTTCTGCTTGTCCCTGTCAGGTCGTGGACGTAAAATTCCTATCGCAGTATCACAGCCCCCTCATATGCCTACGAGAGGGGGCCTTCTGGATAAACCAGATATTTCACTCAGTATGTATAATATATGTCGATTTGTGTTGCAACTACTCGATGACTAATTTCAACGAGATAATATGTAACAATTGTGCTTTAAAGGTAATACAAGCAAAATGTTAAATGGCTATCGAAATCAGCTGAGCAATAATCAGAATGGAAGTTACGATGTGTCTGGCTCCAGTTCGGAGGGTTTGAAGATAGCTACTTTATGTAATCTAGGGAATACCTGCTTTCTTAACTGTGTATTATATACTTTGAGATTTGCACCTTCTTTTCTGCATAATTTGCATCATCTGGCTACGGATCTGTCTAACTTAAATGAGAAACAAATTCAAACAAAAGTAAATATACAGAAGAAAATATTTTTTTTTATATGCAAAGCATAACGTATTGAATAAATTGTTGCTATTTTCATTCTTTGTATATAGGCCAAATCCTCCTCATTGGGTAGAACTGGTATATCCTTAACGTCAAGCAGCAATCGTAGTTGGAGCAGTAAAGATTTACTAGCTTTAGCTGGACCAACAGTAGAAGCTAACAAACCTCGTATTCAAATAGCTACCGAGAAGTTACATGAACTCTTCATGGCATTGCGTGTGTCGGAGGCAAGAGAAAACAGTGAACCGTATCAACCGGATGCCTTTTTACAAGCTCTTAGGTATGTGTAAAAGTATTCTAAAATATTAATTTTTGTGTACTTTATGTTTTTTACTGTATTTTTTATAAATAATGTTCAACCTAACATTATAGGGAGGTAAATCCAATATTTGAAGGAAACCAACAGCAAGATGCTCACGAGCTACTAGTTTGCTTACTCGATAACATCAGAGAGACTTTTCAATTGTTGGTTAGACACAGAGAGAGCCAATTTGGTCAAAGCAATAATAGTTTTTCCAATTTTACTGCGGAACACTCTGCAATGAATGCGCAGTCGGAAAGCAACAATAGCTCGGGAAAGAAGAGTTCTATTCGTAAATCCAGAAAGAAGGAAAAAATTCCGAACAGAGGAAGCTCGATATGTCCCGTGCAGCCGAACGTGAACGGTGTTTCCACGTCTGCGAGACTGTATGAGAATGGTCACATGGAATTTGCTGAGAGCAACGGCGAAGTGGGGGCACGCAAATCGGAGAGCAAAAAGTGCTTTATCTCGGAAGATTTTGAGGGAGTCAGTCTTCTGCGCACAACGTGTCTCGAGTGCGAGCATGTCACAGAACGTAAGGAAACATTCTGTGACATTTGCGTACCTATCGACATCAATTATTCTAATAAGAAAGGTAAACAATTGTTATATATTACAAAATTTGTAACGCGTTAAATGTTCTGCAACGTGTGTTACATATAGTGTTAGCATGCGATTCTATAAAAAAAAAATGCATCGTTTTGTTTAATTTTACAGATGATGATGGTCGATCGTTGGACAGCAGCGAAGTGTACAAACGTGCCGTAGTGACTAGTGAATTGTTGATGGGTAGGGACAAGTACTGGTGCGCACGTTGCCTACAATATAACGAAGCTCGCAGAGCCGTGTGCTTTCCTTCCTTACCAAGACTTCTTATTTTGCAATTGAAAAGATTTTCCACCGCATCCGGGTAAGTCAATGTTACATTCGCGAAGAGCTCACTTTCCTGTGTTTTATTGCGATTATCAATCGAAACGCATGAATTTTTTTTTTTTCAGATCAATGGAAAAGATTAATAATTACATGCCAACGCCCTTTACTCTACAATGTTTTTGCGAGGATTGTAACAACGATCAAAATCGCGAGGATTGTAACAACGATCAAAATCGCGGAACAACGACCGGTAGTGAGACGCGACACGTGTACAAATTATATTCTGTTATAATGCATCAGGGCGCAACGATGACCGCTGGGCACTACGTTGCTTACGCTCGTTTGCCGGACGAATCTACATATGCGGAGTATTTTCAGTGCGATCGCGACAACAAACGACAGAACATAGGTCAAGGTAGCACCACAAGTGTCAACTCGTCGTCATCGTCGTCATCCTCTTCGAACAAAGCGTCAGGCATACTCAAATACTTTAGAAGCAAGTCCAGCGTAAGTGAGAACAAAGAGCAGCCGATGAACAAGGTTGGCTGTCGCAGTATGGATTGTTGCGGCGTCAGGCGCAATAAGCAGAACGTCACTTGGTTGGAGTGCGACGATGAGGCGATACAGGTGATCCCGGTGCGGGAATTTGAGGACAAGTTGGCCAATCCACGAAACTCCGCGACACCTTATCTTCTGTTTTACGTGAGATCAACGACATAGGCTGACACACATGTTGCTGATTATTTATCATCTCTCTCCGCGCTCCCCCCCCCCCCCCA